AAAACTTGAATTTTACATTTCTAAGTTCTCCAGAGTAATGAAGTATGTCGTTGTAACAGCGCCTTTGGAGTGCAAAGGGTTAAATCTTCATAGATTGGCTTTACGGATGGAACCATCGAGTTCGTTATTAGCTTCTGGACAAAAGATATGTTGCGAATTTTCGGCGGTCGAAATCCTTTTCTTATTTCGAAATCCTTGTTCCTTCTAATTGCTAGTCCGTGACAAGATGACCTTTTCTTGCCTGAGTAAAACATATCTTACAATAACTTGAAACATATCTTACAAGACACTTAAAACTATCAATTTATGAAAACTCAGAAGGGCCCTTAATTGTACGTGTCTATCATAATTACAAGTGAAATCCAGCAGAAGAATATGTCCTTTGCAGATGCCAACCTCCACGGAAACTTCTCCAAAGTTTGTTCCAGTTAAGATTGTATATTTCCTACAATAAATGTACCACAAAAAGATTAATATTGTTGATTTCAACTATGTTGCACTTATCGCTAATACTAATAACATATGCTATTTTCAACGTTCACTCTTACACGCTTATCCCAATTCCAAATGCAGAGTATTCCAACAATGAAAAATACGCACATTGAGATACACCTGGAATAGAAATATACGTACCATACTGTCATTCTTCGATTTTTTCAATTCGCCACCTTCTAACCTTTCGCCCAATTCTTTCCGCGATAAACTCCTGTTGCCAGTTGTTGCGAAATGTCTAAATTAATATCTTACATTAATATAAAAGAATTTATAACAATTGTTTAGAGCTACTTACTTATTTAAAATCTCTCCGTTTCCTCTCACTGGTGTGTGAATCCAAAGGCGGCAAATATGAATAAACTGTCCTTGATAATTATGACGTACGATTTCCTTACATCTTTGCTACTGCGTTAAGTAAGAAAATTCAGTTTTACAAATTAAATCGAAAATGTTTTCATCGAATCTTTGAACCGTAAACTTACCGCCTAAACGAAATACATAACCTCGTCCGTACGTACAACGTCGTTCGCCTAACTCCAAGCACGTGCGCGCGAGAGCAGAAAAAAATGGCAACTACGCCACATACACACACACACCACACAATCGTATGCCGATGCTTCTGCCATCTATGAGCTGTTGCTAGAAGCTTCAGTTTTCGTACCTGCTGTTAGATGACACCTGCGGAAGAGTTTGACGAACGAATTGTCCTTTTCTTCCCTATCTGTACGTCCAATTTAAAATGTCAATTGTTTCTGCGTCAGTTTGCGTAGGTACAGGTAGAGGGCACGAGGTGGGCTTCCGTTCTTTTTCCGGGTCTGTAATATAATTTAAATTTACTCTACAAAATTTCATATGAATAAACTGTCCTTGATAATTATGACGTACGATTTCCTTGCATCTTTGGTACAGCGTTAAGTAAGAAAATTCAGTTTTACATATTAAATCGAAAATGTTTTCATCGAATCTTTGAACCGTAAACTTACCGCTTAAACGAAATACATAACTTCGTCCGTACGTACAACGTCGTTCGCCTAACTCCAAACACGTGCGCGCGAGAGCAGAAAAAAATGGCAACTCTGCCACATGTACACACACACCACACAATCGTATGCCGATGCTTCTGCCATCTATGAACTGTTGCTAGAAGCTTCAGTTTTCGTACCTGCTGTTAGATGGCACCTGCGGAAGAGTTTGACGTACGAATTGTCCTTTTCTTCCCTATCAGTACGTCCAATTTAAAATGTCGATTGTTTCTGCGTCAGTTTGCGTAGGTAGAGGTAGAGGGCACGAGGTGGGCTTCTGTTCTTTTTCCGGCTCTGTACTCTAATTCCCCTGACAGATGTGTAATTCAAATATTTGAGTTCAAATTACATACTAATATGGATTATTAGAATCACTACACAGATAATTTATATATTAAAGTGAATACACCTCCACGCGGTGTTATTTCTTGGCGTACAATTGTTCAGCGAATCGTCGTGATAGGTAACCTGTTGGGAGTTACGCAGCAAGTAATACGATCGAGACGTGACGGATAAAACGAAAGGGTTCGATCGAATAGACGTTCGCAAATTCGTCGATACATCGAGGAGTTATCAGCGATATATTCCGTTTGAATTCTTTGAAAAAAGAGCTTTCGTTTCCCTTTTTCAAAAAAATAGGTACATTGATTCGAATTTTCGGAAACAACCAGTCCATTCAAGGACGCTGAAGTCAGTTCTAGGAAGGTCAGTTTTTTTTTAAACATATCAGCGACATTCCGACAATTTTTTATTTTCGGGTTAGTTTTTTTTTATTAACATATTTCCGACGTTCATATTCCCTAGGGTTTGTCCTTCCGAATTGTGTTAGTTTTTTTTTTTTAGAAACATATTCCCTAGGGTTTGTCCTCCGACTTTGGGTTAGTTCTTTTTTTAGAAAAATATTCCCCAGTGTTTGTCTCTCCGAGTTGCGCATTAGTTTCTTTTACAAGCATATTTGCGAGGTCTGATCGACGAAGATTCGATCGACGTAAGATTCAATTATCGATTACTTTATCAACCGATTATTTCGTATCAACCAAGATTTAACCCTTTTCCGGTTTATTTTTTAGAAAAATATTCTCATATTGCCGACACGGTTATTTATCGGCGTTCTTATCTCCCGACTTTGGTATATTTAGTATATTAGCATCGTACGCATATTAAAATGAAAAAAAAAAAGCCCGAAGGCCGTTACAAGTATTTTGGCTCGAAGCCCGACGTACGATTGGTGGGTGATACAACGAGAGTCGTATGTTGACGCGGTTTAATTGAAAACTCAGCTTTACTATAGTCGCTCGATTTATAGAGAGATAGTACCACGTCGAATCATGAACAATTCTGTGCCGTCGACGCTGCTACCATCTCTGAGCCATTGCTACAAGTTTGCGTAGATGCTGTTAGATGGCACGAGATGCTTTACTTTTTTTTTATAGAGAAAATTTTGAATTTAGTCAAAAATGCGGGTACTTACCCAGTTTATAACTATAGGAATGAAAAGTCCAACTTTAGATTTCAGATAATTTCTAAGGCGAATATTTCCAAACCCGTTATCAAGTAGTAGACGAGACTTGTCTGACCAAGACTATCGTTTATTTAATTTTTTATATTACAACAACATTCGATACCCCACGGACAAAGGACATAACGATGCGAAGGTGCTCAACTTACAAATTTATCAGCATTTCGTAACAAATACACGACGGTAAAATCTTTGGTGAATTCTTCTATGTATCGTTTTTATATAAAGATGAGAGTTATTATACTAATGAACAGAATGGCCAACTTATGGTGATTTGAATGTAACGTATTGCTGCTGCTATTATCGTTGAACCGGTGGTGCCATTGGAAGACTAGAAGCATTCACGTTCGACATGGCTTTACTAGGTCCTAACAGAACCTGTTTCTGCTGGGCACGTTGCGCTTCTTCCATTTGCACTCTTTCTATTTCGTACAATACAGGCGCGAATAAAATAACAGACGAGCTGAAGAATAACCATGCTGCTGAACATGAAAATGCGTATAATCCTACGAAGGAAGAAACTCGTTGTCATATCTGCTGAGACTCTTATTATTTTGTCGAATATATGTACCAACGAATATACTGACCTTTTACACAATTGCACAAACAAGTACCAACGTTATATCCCAAATTCCGAACTTCTTCGGGAAACATTTCTGTGAGACCGAATAACCTTTCTGCCAAACTTTCGTCCTAAAAGTTTCGGAACATTTTTCGTTTCGAGTTGTTGTTGTTAACGTATTGTATAAGAATCAAATACCTCTTCGTCGTCCTCGTCGTCCGGAAGAAGTGATTTCACTTCGGTAGAATGTGCGTCGATACTACCCATGCCGCTATCCGCTTCAACCGACGAATCCATACGAGAAAACAATTGAAGACCGACGAACGGAAAAACGAACGTAGTTTATTCTTAGGAATTCAATTTTGAAGCCCCCTGTTTTGTCCACCGCAAGCGTACAGTTAACGTATGGCTACGCACGCCTGTACCAAGTAGAAACAGCGTGACTTCTGCTCGCGCATATCCACCCACCGCGTAACGATACGTAAAAAGTCCCTAGATCGTTTGAAGAATTTTAATTATGTAAAATAATGTATTTTATTTTGTATTTTAAACACTTTGATACTCTCGATACGTTAAAATACTCTTTTCTCTTTTTCTGGTTCTTTCTAACCGAGGTGCCTGGAACGAACCATTGTCATTGGCTGTTTCTGACAAAGCTGCAACGTCGTCGCCGTTGCGTCCGATAATCGGTCGACTCTTGAACTTGAGCGGAATGGCAAATACAGGAGTACTACCGTTTGTACGAGGGGTCGATTTTAGTAGCAATAATTTTGGAGTAAATATGTTCTTTTCTTTTTCAATCCGTTATCCGGAATCGAGCATTTACAATTTTACTTCCCCTTTACAGGATGGTAAATTTCCAGAATCTGTTCGCCTAATGACTGGTATACAATGGCTGAAATTGGACGAAACCAACTTGACGGAGATCCCAGAAGAGATGGGCAAATTACTGAAGCTGGTAAAACCACCTTATTTTTCAAGCATACGGAGAATGATCTTCTTTCGTTTCTGAAAATAGGAGCACCTTTCGCTGGTTAAGAACAAATTGGAACGTTTATACGGAGAACTGACGGAACTCTGCTGTCTTCGGACGTTGAACATAAGGCGCAACAACGTTAAATCAAGCGGTATCCCGGCAGAACTGTTTCATCTAGAAGAACTAACCACCTTGGACTTGAGCCACAACAATCTGAAGGAAGTACCGGAAGGACTTGAGCGAGCTCGTTCTTTGTTAAATCTGAATTTGAGTTATAATCAGTGGGTGGTGTTGTGTTACGTGTATAAATAGCACACCTAACGATTGTTGCATTGTCTCGATCCTTTCAGCATCGACGCGATTCCCAATACGTTGTTCATTCATTTAACCGATTTGCTGTTCCTGGATCTTAGCAACAATAAGTTGGAAACACTACCGCCGCAAACCCGCCGCCTAGCCAATTTGCAAACTTTAAATTTGAATCATAATCCGCTGGGACACTTTCAGCTGAGGTACGGCAAAAAAAATCGGTAGAGATGTGGTGGCAAATCGATCGTTAATGGGGTACCAACTTTTTCTGATTCCAGGCAATTACCATCCTTGATGAATTTAACAACCCTACAGATGCGCGATACGCAACGAACGTTGAGCAATATCCCTTCGAGTTTGGAGACGTTGACGAATTTGCAGGAGCTTGATTTATCGCAGAACAATTTACCCCGAGTACCGGATGCGCTTTACTCTTTGTTGAATTTACGTCGCTTGAATTTAAGCGATAATCAAATAACAGAACTGTCGACAGCAATCGGTAGGTGTTCGCTTGCTCGATTGTTACATGTTATCGATATATATATATATATCTGTTTTCGTTTCAGAACTTTGGACTAAATTGGAAACGTTGAATATATGTCGTAACAAGTTGTCCGCGATACCAGCCTCCCTATGTAAGATTGTTACTCTCAGAAGATTATACTTGAACGACAATCGATTAGATTTCGAAGGTATTCCTTCGGGTATCGGTAAGCTGTCGTCGCTGCAAGTATTTTCTGCGGCTAATAACCGTTTGGAAATGATACCCGAAGGCTTGTGCAGGTACGTCGATCTTCTTTACCTTTCGTCACGAAAACCAGAGATATATTTCTCTTCTGGACAGATGCGGATCGTTGAAAAAACTAATATTATCGTCCAATCGGTTGATCACCGTACCGGACGCCGTTCATCTTCTCACCGATTTGGAACAACTGGACTTGAGGGATAATCCAAATTTGGTAATGCCGCCGAAACCGACAGAGGTTCGAAAAGGTTCCGGCATCGAGTTTTACAACATCGATTTTTCTCTGCAACACCAATTGCGGCTCGCTGGCGCTAACGTACCCACGCCCATTCAAACTGCCGGTAAATTTATCATTAATTGACGATAGTTTGGTTGATTTAAGTGTAACAATTGTGCGTATCAGGCAGCAAAGATCCGATAGCTCGCAAAATGAGGCTCAGAAGAAGACGAGATCAAGAAGAAGCTGATCAAGATCAAGCCAAAATATTAAAGGTTAGGTTATTGTATCGCAAAGAATAACGAAAAAGACTTCTTCTTCTTCTTCTTCTTCTTCTTCAGGGTATGAAGGATATAGCAAAGGAGAAAAATAAAGATAAAGAGTGCGAAGAATCTAAAGCGGAATCGTTGAAGTAG